GTACTTGGTATAATATAAATTATATATATTTTACATGCACATATATTATATTATATACATATATTATATTATATATTATATATTATATACACACATATATGTGTGTGTGTGTATACACACACACCCCCATACTGTCTTTTCTATCATGGAAGTGGTATATCATTGAGATTTAGATTTGCATTTTCCTACTGGCTAATGACATTGAGCATCTTTTCATGTGCTTTTTGTCTGTCTTCCTTGGGGAGATGTTTATTCAAATCCTTTGTCCATTTAAAAAATGGGGTTGGTTATTTATGGTTTTATTGTTGAGTTCTTTATATATTATAGATATAAGTCCCTTATCAAATCTTTGCAGTTCTCACATTCTGTGTGTTGTGTTTTCTTATTTTTGATAGTTGTCCTTTGGAACATAAAAATTTATTTTGGAGGCACCTGGTGGCTCATTCGGCTAAGTGTTTGCATTCTGCTTGGGTCATGGTCCTAGAGTCCTGGGATCAAGCCGTACATCACTCCCTGCTCAGTGGGGCTTCTCTCTGTCCCTCTGCTGCTCCCCCTGCTTGTGCTCTCTTGTTCATCCTCTCTCTCAAATAAATAAAAATCTTTTTTCAAAAAAGTTTTTAATTTTGATGAAACCCATTTTATTTTATTTTTTGTTGCTTCTGTTTTTGGTGTCCTATGTAAGAAACCCTTATTTTATCTGAGGTTAGTAAGATTTATGCCTATGTTTTCTTCTAAGAATTTCATTATTTTAGCTCTCACATTTTGAATTTTGAATTTTGAATTTTTGTATGTAGTTTAAAGTATGGGTCCAGATTTTTTGTTTTGCATTGTGGATATTCAGATGTCCTAGCACCATCTTCTTCCTTTGAATTATCTTGGCACCACCCTTCATGGAAGTCAATTGACAATGTATTGATTTATTTCTGGACTCTGAGTTTTGTTTCATGATCTGCATCTCTGTGATGCCAGTATCATGCTGTGTTGATTACTCTAGTTTTATAGTAAGTTAGTAATTTTTGAAATTGGAAGTGTGAATCTTCCAGTTTTGTTCTTTTTCAAGATTCTTTTAGCTATTCTCAGTTTTTTTGTCAGCTTGTGAATGTCTTCAAGACAAGCAACTGGTATTTTGGCATGGATTGGTTTCAGCTCTAAATCAATTTAGTCAGTATTGCTATTTTAACTATATTACAAGCTTGGAATATGAGATATCTTTCCATTTATTTAGATCTTTTAAATTTTATTTAATGGTGTTTTGTATTTTTCTATGTACAAGTCTTGTACTTTTTTGTTACGTTTATTCCTAAGTGTTTTCTTCTTTTTTTGATGCTAATATAAATGAAATTGTTTTCTTCATGTAATTTTCAGATTGTTCATTGCTAGTGTACAGAAATATAACTGATATTTTATGTTGATCTTATATCCTACCACATTGCTGAACTCATTTATTAGCTTTACTTGGGATTTATTTATTGTTTGTGATTCCTATATACAAGATAATGTCATCTGCAAGTAGAGATAGATTTACTTCTCCCTTTTGTTTCTGTTTCTTGCCTAATTGTCCTGACTAGAATATCCAGTACTGTGTTGGATGGAAGTGACAAAAGCTGACATCCTTATCTTGTTCCAACACTTAGAGGGGAAACTTTCAGGCTTTGACCATTAAATGTGATAACACCTGTGGGTTTTCATAGATGCCCTTTATCAGATTGAGGACGTTCTTTTTATTATTATTTTTTTAATTAAAGTTATGTATAAGATTTTTTCAAAACACAATTGGTCATAATACACTTGATAATATATTAAAATATGAATTATTCATTTACATAAGAAATAAAACTTTTCTTATATGCAGGATTTTAATTCTTAGTTGCATATTTTTATCACAAAAGAGGTTAGATTTTTGTCATATGCATCTTCTGCCGAGATGAACGTATTTGGGCCTTTTTATAAAAAACTCTTATTCTTTCTTCTTCTTCTTCTTTTTTTTTTTTTTTTTAGGATTGATCTTTATTCTCTTAATGTATTATATTGGTTTGTTTTGTATGTTGAACCAACCTTCCATTCCCACTTATCTTCCTTCCCACCGGTTACTCATTTAGTATTCCTTGACTTGATGAATACCATCTAAGCCATTCAGATGCCCAAGCCAGAAATCCTAGAGTCATCTTAGACCCTTCTCTTTCCCTTACTCATTACATCCAATCAGTTGATTTTGTCTTTTTTTTTTTTTTTTTTTAGATTTTATTTGTCAGAGATTGAGAGAAAGAGAGACTGAGCAAGAGGGGCAGCCAGAGGCAGAAGCAAGCAATGTGGGACTTGAAACCAGGACCCTGGGATCATGACCTGAGTCAAAGGCAGCTGCTTAACCTACTGAGCCATCCAGGAGTCCCCAGTTGATTTTGTCTTAATATGTTCCTAAATTTTCCCACTTTGAATCCATCCTCACTCTCATGCCAGGAGTGATTTTTGTCCTCCCAAAGGTGAATCTCATACTCTAAATCTACTTGTAGAAAAATTTATGAAGGAGAAATTTCTATGAACTCCCTACCTTCTGACAATGTACATAAACCATTACCAGCTGTTAAATCTTTGTCTTGGTTTTAAAGACTCAGATTATTTTCTGTGAATTATTAGTGACTTGTCTGTTTCTTGAAATGAGATTTGTGTTATAGTAAGTAGCCAAAACAGTATGGTATTGACATAAAAACAGACACACAGATCAATGAAACAGAATAGAGAGCCCAGGAATAAGCCTACATATATATGGACAATTAATTTATGACAGAGGAGCCAAAGACATAAAATGGAGGAAGGACATTCTCTTTTTAAATGAATGGTGTTGGGAAAACTGGACAACCATATACAAAAGAATGAAACTTGACCACTATCTTATACTATACATAAAAATTAACTGAAAATGGATTAAAAACTTGAATGTAAAACCTGAAACCGTTAAATTCCTAAAGGAAAACAGGTGGTAAGTTCCTTGACATCAATCTTAGCAATTTATTTGTGGATATGACTTCAAAGACAAGGGAAACCAAAGCAAAAGTAAACAAATTGAAATATATCAAACTAAAGAGCTTCAGCATGGTGAAAGAAACCATCATCAAAAGGAAAAGGCAACCTACTGAATGGATATTTGCCAAAATTACATATTTGGCAAGGGATTAACATCCAAAACATATAAAGAACTCGTACAACTTAACAAAAAAAAAACTAATTAAAAAAATGGGAAGAGGGGCGCCTGGGTGGCTCAGTGGGTTAAGGCCTCTGCCTTTGGCTCAGGTCGTGATCCCAGGGTGCTGGGATCGAACCCCACATCGGGCTGTCTGCTCCACAGGGAGCCTGCTTCCTTTTCTTTCTCTCTCTGCCTGCCTCTCTGCCTACTTGTGATCTCTGTCAAAGAAATAAAATCTTTTTAAAAAAATGGGAAGAAGATATGCATAGACATTTTTCCAAAGAAGATAAATCAGTGGCCAACAGGCACATGAAAAGATGTTCAACATCCATAATTATTAGGGAAATGCAAATCAAAACCACAATGAGATATCACCTCACAAGAGTAGACTGGCTATCATCAAAAAGACAAGAAAAAAAACACGTGTTGGAGAGAATGTGGAGAAATGGGAACCCTCCTAAATAAAACTCTGAGAATGTAAATTAGTGCACCCACTATGTAAAACACTATGGCTATTTCTTAAAAAGTTGACAATAGAACCGCCATACTATCCAGCAATTCCACTTCTGAGCATTTATCTGAAGAATGTGAAAACATTAACCAAAAAGATATGTGCAGCCTATTGTTAATTGCAGTATCATTTACAGTAGCGATGATATGAAACAGTCTAAATGTGGTCAGTGGATGAATGGATAAAGAAGGTGTGGTATATACACAGAATGGACTACTACTCAGACATAAAAAGTGAAATCAGATGGCAACAGCATCAGTGGGTGAATGGATGAAATTAGCCATAAAAAGAGTGAAATCCGATGGCAACAACATGGATGGACCTTGAAGGTGTTAAGTGAACTAAGTCAGAAGGAAAAAGTAAAAAACAATATGATCTCGTCATATGTGAATCTAAAAACAACAATAACAAATAAAAATGAACTCATACATAGAAAACAGATTGGTGGTTACCACAAGGGTAGTGGTGATTCTACAATGGTGGGTGGTTGAGGGGTGGGCAAAATGGGTGAAGGAAGTCAAATGTATGGTGATAAATGGTAACTAGATTTTTGGAGGTGATTGTTTTGAGATGAATACAGATACTTAATTATAATATTGTATACCTGAAACTTATATAATGCTACATACCAATGTTACTTCAGTTAAGAATGGGATTTGTAATTCAAGTATTATCATAGGGGTGCTGCTAAATACTATTTTTGGACACTAAGATTTGGTCTAATGTTATCCAATAAAAGAGTAAAATTGGAGAGAAGGCTTAAAAACAGATGAAGACCAAATGGGAAAATGGCATGTGGTAAGGTTGCTACTAATTTGTTGCTGTGGTGCAGTTGATCTCTTGTGAGAATTCTTTTCTTGCAAAGTTTACACACACTGTATCATATTACAGAGATTATGAAGTCTGTCATCAGTCTGCTTATCACATACATATACTAGTCAAGTAATAACTTTTTGCATGAATTTTTGTAGAAGTTATTTATTTATTAAAGATTTTATATATTTGACAGAGACACAGCAAGAGAGGGAACACATGCAGGGGGAATGGGAGAGGGAGAAACAGGCTTCCTGTTGAGTAGGGAGTCCAATGTGGGGCTTGATCTCAGGACCCCGGGATCATGACCCAAGCCTGAGGTAGACGCTTAATGACTAAGCCATCCAGACGTCCCTGTAGAAGTTATTTTAAATTCAAATTATTTAAAATGGATAACATCTAATTTTTGCATTGGTGTATATAAAGTTTACATCTATCAAATACTCTAAAAGCTCTATAAGCAATTTTAAGTCAATTTGTTTGTTTATTTTGCAGCCTTGCATTGCATCCTGAACGAGTATTAGTAGCAACAGGACAAGTTGGGAAAGAGCCTTATATCTGTGTTTGGGATTCATACACTGTGCAGACCATATCAGTTCTAAAGGATGTTCATACACATGGTATAGCCTGTTTAGCATTCGACTTAGATGGACAGGTATGTGATATTTTTTCTCTTTTCCTAAACTATATCTTAAAAATGTGTACCATAAGAAATTATTATAAATCTATAAATATTAAATTGGAAAGCAATAGATGAAAGATACCTGTTTGTTCAAGGGTAGAGGTAGGTAGGTTTGGTGGATAGTTAATGAGTATAATAAAATAAGAACAATAAGGAGTCTTTATTTCATGTATCAAGAACTTTTTAATCAACACTATTATGAAAGCCAAAGAGATTCTGACTCAATAGAGTATTACCTGGTTGTCCTAGAAAATTTTACATATTAATAACTCTTTTCCAGGTAGTTTAGTTGATAAGACAGATGGGAGACATCTTAGGAAAACTAGGTTTCTCTAAGTAGAGCTGTATATGTTTTTTCGGTTATTTTAAAGGTTTCTGTTAAAATTACATTTTTTATTGAAAATAGAGGCAGCTCTTATGAGCTATTTTTATACAAAATCAAAGTTGAAAACAAAGGGATGATTATCATTCCTCTTACTTATTATTAGTCCCCAAATTATTATCTCCTTCTAGTTAATGATTGTTAAAAAAATTAAACATGCCAATAACTTTTTTGTGGTGCTTTCATGGAACTTGTTATACCGAAAACATATTTAAGTAGTAGTAAGAAGTTGAATTTTGCAGATGTGGTTAATTTATAGCCTTTAATTTTTATGTTAAAATTAGACTTTAAAAATCATTTTAATTTTTAAAGAAATTTTAGTTACTTGCTTTTCAGTTCATAAAATTAATTTTATATTGATATTTTACAAAAACAGATTACATTGTGTTCTGTTCCCTTGAAAATGATAAGTACATGTTTTATTTATAACTCTGAGGAATAGCTTTTTCGAGTAGCATAGATTAATGACTTTCTTTTAAGAGTCTGGTAAGAGATCTTTAAAGACTTAACTGGAAGCTTTCATTTGAGGAAATATGTACTTCTAGGTTTAATATCAATATATAGCAGTGATTGGCAATTATAGATCCTTAATTTGCATCCCATTTTTACTATTGTTTTTCAAGTCCCTTACTGTCCTCATATCCATTTCATTTTCTTTTTTTAAAGAAAGAGAATAATACTCTTTACCTACCTCACAGAAGATTAAATTTTATGAAACAAACCTCCACAGCTTTTTAAATCATTTACCAAAAGTATTATGAAGTCCAGTGTGTATTAACTATAATAAGTATCTGTATACTTTAAACACAGATGTTTTAATTTTGAAATAGCTCTTTCTAAATGTAATATATTACATTGTTGAGGAATTTCTTTAATATATACAAGGAAAAGTCATGCCCGTAGATTTTCCTAGTTGAAAGGCCTTTAATTTTGCTTATTTTAAGTAACTTGAAAAGCCTTGGTTACATGTGATACCACAGATATTCATGAGAATGTGTTACTTAAAAATTTAAGCTTATAAAAAACATAACAGCTAAAAGTTACTGAGCACATACTAAGTACCAAGCATTGTGCTAAGCCTACCTTATCTTATTTAATCCTCACAGCAACCCTATAAAATAGATACTATTATTATCTCTATTTTACAGATAAAGAAACTGAGACTTAGAGAGGTTAAATAACTTGCCCCAGGTTACACAGCTAGTAAATGGAGCCAGAGCGGAAACCCAGGTCAGTCACACTCCAAAGCTCATATTTTTAACCGCAATACTCTCCTGCCTCCCAAACATGGAACTTAGGAGGTAGTGATTTATATTTCAGAAGGAATTCATCCATCTTAAATATAGTTACAGCTTATAAGGAACTGCTGCCAATTGAAGATTAAGTTAAAGAGTATCTCTGAAATTATATTAATGCGAAAATGTTTTAGTTAAAAAATATATTTGAGAACATATCTATTCACTAATATCTATAAACTGTTTATGAGATATCAACTAGGAGATATTGTATGATTTTTGCATTTTGTACTAGATTTGAAACTCTAAGTGCTCTGTTAAGATTTATCCAATGAATGAGTTTCCCTGTTGGTAGTAAGCTGAATGTTATTTTCCCAGAGGCTTTCTTCTAATTGGACTGAATACTCTAATACCAGAAGTCTGCCTTACTGAGAATAATTAGAACTTGAAAAATCTACTTATGTAAATGCACATCAAATAGGAACTCAAATTTCTTAGTGGGAGGAAGGAAAATTTGAGTGGTACTTTGTCTTGAAAATATAAAATATATTATAAAAACATTTCTCATATAAAAATCTAAGCTATAGTAACCGATCTGGTGATTCACAGAATAAATGAGAATAGTGTTACTTTTTTAACCTAATTTTGTCAGTTATGTGATGTTACAAAATAAATTGCTTTAGTTTACCTTTGACTTTTGGCACATGATTATGACGAGCGTAATTTTTGCAAAAACAGTAGGGGAGTAGTTCACTGGTTTTTTTAAGTGCCTTTTAGAAATCTCTTGATATCAGGACATATCTCAAGTGCCTAACGTATTTTTCTTGAGTTTTTTTCCTGTTTCTTTGCCAGACCTAATTTCCGATGGCTTTATTTATGATTATACCAGTATTTACTCCATTAAGCCCTGAATCTTTTACAAAGTTTGTGATTTTACTTTGTAACAACATGACAGTTCTTATGTAATGAACACTGAGATTACAAGGACCCCCATACTAAAATCTTTTAAGTATAATTGTTCCTTATTTGAGTATGTTTCACAGTTGCAGGAACTTATGGGATCACCTAGTTGTGTCTTTTGGGATATTTTTCTTATTTGAGAATTTAGTGTGCTAAAACATTTTAATGAATACTTCCAATTCAATTAATGGACACAACCAAGATTTTGTTTGGGACTTAGATCAAGGAGGAATTTAGGAAGATGGTTAGAGGCTTCTTTACCTGGTTTTCTTTCTCCCTCTCTGACTTTTACTTCTTAATCTTTAAAGGAGCTTTTCCTTCTGTCTAGTTCTTAAATATCAGTGTTATTTAGGAGTTTGTAGCCTTCTTATTCTCTCACATGATTTTAACGTCCTCGTCAGTTAAGAGTGGCCCCCGCTTCTCTCCTTAACTCTAGACACCCCCTCCCTTGAGTGTCATACAAATATACCAAATATTACACATTTAAAACTGAATCTCCCTTTATTCCAACTCTATTAAAACACAAAGTTTATTCTTTCTCTGGCTCTGGCCTACATTTCCAGCTTTGTCTCCTGCCACTTTCCAGGTGGTACTCCCCTCAGCTATCCTGAATTAGGCTTTTTCTTGAAAATACCATGATCTCTCTAATCTTGGTGTCCTTTGGTTTGAAAGGCACTTTCTCTTATTTTTCTTTTTTTTTTTTTTTAAGATTTTATTTATTTATTTGACAGTGAGAGATCACAAGTAGAGAGGCAGGCAGAGAGAGAGGGGGAAGCAGGCTCCCTGCTGAGCAGAGAGAACCCGATGCGGGACTCGATCCCAGGACCCTGAGACCATGACCTGAGCCGAAGGCAGAGGCTTTAACCCACTGAGCCACCCAGGTGCCCCTGGTTTGAAAGGCACTTTCTCTTACTTTTCTACCCAAATCCTCCTCAGTCTTCCAAGATACTGTTAAAGCATTACTTAAAAAAGTTTCTTGTTTATTTGGAAGAGAGAGAGAATGCATGCATGAGGCTGGGAGAGGGAGAAGGAGAAAGAGGAGCAGCCTCCTTGCTGAGCAGGGAGCCTGACAAACAGCTCCATTCCAGGATTCTGGGATCATGACCTGAGCTGAAGGCAGATACTCAACTGAGCCATGCAGACACCCTGAAAGCATTACTTTTACTGGAAAACCTTATTTTCTTCCTTATCTACCTAGGCTGGGTTAAATGTGAGAAAAAATGATAAAAAATGACAGCTAGGAGAGGAAGTAGTATTGACTTGATTATTTCTACCTTATCCTCTCTGCTGTTACTTAACCTGTGCTGAGGGAGGTTGATTTTGGCTATGTAAGTTTGCTCAGAGAAGTGCTCCCAGATCTCTTTTGTTACTGCCTATACACAGCTGTATGTTTGGAGGCTCTATGGAGGTACATGGAGTTTTAAAACTTTTGGCCAATTGTGGTTTGCTGTTTGTGTATGATGAGCCAAGTCAGAGAGCAAGGACAGTGCCCCTTAACTGTCCCTCACTTGATGCTTGTCTTGTGAAATTTTAATCTCTACACTGTAAAGATCTCTTTTAGCTAGATACTGATACCTTATAGTTCCGAACTATTAAAGACTCTCAAGAAAGGAAATCCTCTCCTTTTGTTCCCTTGAGATTTCTGCCAGCATGATTTGATGGAGAGCCATAACAGACTATATACTGTATCTTTTTATGGGAGCCATTTATTCCACCTGTTTGAGGGTTTAAATAGTAATTCTACTTTGCAGAAATCTGTTTCTAACTGGGTACTTGATGGCCTTTCTCATTTGGACAGGAAGAGGGCATAGGTTCGTTCGTTCTTTCTTTCTTTTTTTTTTTTTTTTTTTTTTTTTTTGGTAAGATTTAATTATTTATTTGAGAGAAAGAGCACGAGGGTGCACATGTACCCGCACATGCCTGTGTGTGAGTCGGGGGAGGGACAGAGGGTGATAATCTTCAAGCTGACTCCTGCTGAGCACAGAGCCCAACTCAGGGCTCAATCTCACACCCATGAGATCATGACCTGAGCTGAAACCAAGAGTTAGACACTCAACTGAGCCACCCATAGGCCCTGAGAAGATAGGTTCTTAAAGCTAATTAAGGTTATGGTAAGCGAATAATAATGATAGTGAACATTTTATAACATCATATAGTAACTCTCATATATATTAATTTTCTTGTTAACCCTATCCCCACTTAACAGGTGAGGAAACAAGATACAGAGAGACTGCATAACTGCTGAAAGTAATCCAGTTCATGAGAAATGGGCTAGTGTTCGAACCTAGGCAGTCTGGTACCAGTGTCTATGCTTTAAATCAGAGATTAGTAAACTTTCTGTAACAAGTCGGATAGGAAATATTTAAGCTTTGTAGACCATACAGTCTCTGGCTCAGCTACCCAGCTCTGCATTGTAGTGGGAAAGCAGTCATAGACAGCTTGTAAAAGAATAGGTATGGCTGTGCTTCAATATAATTTTTTTTACAAAAACAGGGTGCAGGCAGGATTTGGCTTGAGTGTTGTAGTTTGCTGGCCCCTGCTTCTAAACCAGTGCTTTTCAAATTTTGTGTTGTGGGCTGATCCTTATGCTTTCTTCTTTAACCCTTCAGTTACTTAGAAGTGTATTGTTATTTTCCACCCATTTGGAGGGTTTTCTGCATAGCTTCCTGTTATTCTAATTTCTGTTTTTGTCAGACAACAATAGTCTGTATTTTAATTTTTTAAATTTGTTTAGGCTTATTTTGTGACTTTCACGAAGTATCCTGCTGTTTTGTTTCTCCATTTGTTTACTGTGCTATTGTTATTCATTTTACTTACACATATTTTGTAAATTTTATAGCTGTTATTTTTGCTTTACACAGTTTTAAAAGAAAATTAAAAACAAAAGCCTGACTTACATATTATTTGGACATTCTTCATTCACAAGTGTATCATTTCTGTGTGCCTGAAGAAATTTCCATTATCGTATCTTCTAGTGCAGATTTATCAATGGTGTATTTTCTCACCTTCTGTTTACTTGAAAAACATTATTTTGACCCAATTTTCCAAAGATAATTTTGGTAGGTATACTATTCTATGTTACCTTTTCCCCTCAGCATTTTAAAGATTTTATGTATTTGTTTATTTGAGAGAGAGAGAGATTGGGAAGTGCTAGTGGGGGAGGACCAGGACCAGAGGGAGAGGGACAGCAGACCCTGCACTGAGCTCAGAGCCCACTGCAGGCTTGGTCCATGACCCTGAGATCATGACCTGAGCCAAAATCAAGAGTCCAGAGCCAAATGGACCGAGTCACCCAGGCACCCCCACCCCTCAGCATTTTAAAGAGGTTATTCATTGTCATCTGACTTGTATAGCTTCAGATGAGGACTCTAGGATAATTTTTTAATCTCTGATCCTCTCCACCAAAATTGTCTTTTTTTCTGGCTGCTTTTAAGATTTTTCTCTTTAGCCCTGGTTTTGGCACTTTGACTACCATTTGTGTTGATGTATGTTTTTTCTATGTTTATTTCTGCTGGTAGTTCACTGAGCTTCTTAAATTTCTGGGTTTATGGGGTTCATCACATTTAGAAAATTACAGCCATTATTTCTTCAGTTTTGTTTTGTCTCTTCCTCCATCTTCTCCTTGTGGAGCTAGAATAACCTGTATGTTAGATCACTTGATGTTTTTCTAAAGTTAACTAAGGCATTGTTAATTTTTTTTTCCATTTTCTTTCTGTGCTTTATTTTGGATAGTTTTTGTTGCTTTGTCTTCAAGTTCATCTATCTTTTCTTAATGATCTAAGCTGCTATTAATCCTATGGAATGAATTTTTATTTCACATAATTTCACATTTATTTTTACAAGTTCTGTATGTTCTTTTATGTCTTTTATTTCTCATTTTATTCCTTGTATGTTTTAAAATAATTATTGAGCAGGGCTCCTGGCTGGCTCAGTCAGTGGAGCATGCAACTCTTTATCTCAGGGTTGTGGGTTTGAGCCCCATGTTGGGTGTGGAGATTACTTAAAAATAAAATCTGAAATATTTCTTAAGCATCTTGAACGTTTTCATTTTAATAGCTAATGTCTCAATTTTAATTATTCCTGTGATTCTTAGGTCTCTCTCTTTTTTAAAAGATTTTATTTATTTATTTGACAGAGACCCAGCAAGAGAGGAAACACAAGCAGAGAGGGAGAGGGAGAAGCAGGCTTCCTATTGAGCGGGTAGCCAGATGTGGGGCTCGATCCCAGGACCCTGGGATCATGACCTGAGCTAAAGGCAGACGCTTAATGACTGAGCCACCTAATTCCCCTCTTAGGTCTGCTTCTATTAATGGGTTTTTCTCCTGATTATATGTCACATTTTCTTCTTTGTTCACATGTCCAATAATTTGTTTTATTGGATGGTGGACATTGTGTATGTTACATTCTGAATTCTTGATTTTGTTGTATTCCTTTAAAGTGTTTTGGACATTGTTCTGGCAGGTAGTTAAGTTGTGGATTAGTTTGATCCTTGTGAAAGCTTGCTTTCAAGCTTTTGGAAGACAGGGCTAGAGTAGCTCTTTCTCTAACATTATTGGTTTAATTTCACCATTAAGTTGTGACACTTCTGGGTCACTGAGTACCTAGTGAATTTAAAGAGGTATCTATGTTCTGGTTATTAGGAACTCAAGGGATCCTGACCCTTTGTGATCTCTGGCAATTTTTTGGCTTTAGCTCCCCAGTAATTGCTTTTTTAGAATTCCCCAGAGTTTGTTCTTTGCATGGCCTCATAGATTTCACCCTATGCATGCAAAGATTAGTGTTCTCAAGGGGTCCTATAAACAAATTTTCTGGAGCTCTTTCTCTGCTCTACAAATTCTAGCTGTTTTGACCTCTCTAAACTCCAGGCTCTGTCTTCTCAAATCAGCAAGTCTCCTGGGCTCTGTTTGGATTCTACCTTTCTATGCTATAATCTGCAGACTGCTTCCTAGATGAGAGCTGGGGCAAGTGCAGGTCTCACCTTGTTTGTTTCTCCCCTTTCAGGGCTCACAGTGCTTCACTTCCTCTTATGAATGTCTGAAAGCATTTGTTTCATACATTTTGTAGTTTTCTAGTTGTTTATAGTGGGGGCAGGTTCAGATCCTAATACTTTGTGGCTGAAAGTCCATCTTTTGTGTTTCTTAACCCCTCTCACAGTTTCCATCTTCCTGTCTCCTCTTCTTAACTCTGTATCTTCATCTCCCTTTAAATGCCTATTTAACTCCTCCACTGTTTTAAATTTATTTTTTCATTTCTAAAAATTGCGTTTGCTTCTTCAGATCTGCTTGAATACTTTTTACAGTCTCCTATTCTTTGCTTGAATGAAGATACTTTGAAACCTTAATTTTATTTCTCTTCACCTCATAATTCCAATGTCTGATGTTTTCTAGGACTGGTTTTGCTATTTGTTTTGACTTGCTAATTCTTACTCATTGTCCCTTATTTCCCATGGCTATGGGGGTTGGGGATATTTGTTTATTTTTATGTTTACTGAATTGCTACCTGTAGGAATTCTTTGAGGGATGGATTGAAGTGTCAGTTCTCTAAATAGGATTTATATTTGACTCTGCTACACTGTTGAAGATGCTTTAAGAATCCTCAGACCACTCTGAAATTTTCCACTTGAGGAGTTCGTAATTAATGTAGAGTTAGGCATTATGACTGTATGAAAGCTGCTTTTGACTATCAATTTTCAGGGAGGATTGTCTTTCCCTTCATGCATTGTGGGCCCTCCCCTTTATTTTTAAAGGAGTGGTTTCTTGTTTTCCCTTACTTCTGAGGAGTTCACTGCTTTAGTCAGAAGTCTCAGGTTCAGATCTACACTTTAGACTTGCCCTAAACTTTATCCTATTTTCGTTCAGCCTACAGAACAAAAATCAGGCTTATCAGGAGTTAGCTGGTACCTTTAGAATAAAGTGTACATGGGAGCTCTCTTATCCTCCAGGACTCCCATATGAAGTCTCTTTGTTTTTGTTCCAGATTTCATAATTCCTTGACAGCTCAGCAGTACATTTAAAAACATGTTTTTACATTTTATCCAGCATTTTTAGTTTTTAGCAGGAGAGATGTTTATGGTATTTTGTCAGTCCTACTGTTAGAATAGAAGTGTCTATTCTCTTTCTTAATGTGAAGAACTATACTTATGCAAATATTACCAAGATGAAATACATCCAGCCTTTCTCTGTGAGGTCTATATAATATACATATGTAAGTTTTGATATAAAATATAAGTGTGTAAGTTTTGATGTGTAAGTTTATAATACCCAGGAGGATAATTTGTTTGCATTTATAATTTGGTTTCTTTTTTATTTGTTTGCCTTTTTATTCCCTCATGGACTTCTTGGATATAATTCAGCGCTTGGTTTCAGTTGGACTTGATTCAAAGAATGCAGTTTGTGTTTGGGATTGGAAGAGGGGAAAAATGTTATCTATGGCTCCTGGTCACACAGATAGAGTAAGTATTCTCCATTCGTGTTTCTACTGGGTATTGGATGGGAAAAAGGAGAGCCGGGATATGTTTCCATGCTTTGTTATTACCAGATAGTTCATATGTAATTAAAAATTTAAAGTATAGTCACAAATATTCATAAAATTTTAGAATGTATATAGTAGTACTCAAAAATAGGACTCAATATGTGAAGTGATAACATAAAACTTTTAACCATTGTTTGCTTCAGCAGAATGATGAATTTTAAGTTATTCAGACCTCCATTTAAAAATTGAACAGCTCATGCTTAGGGTCTATATAGTTTTATCACTGGTTTGTTATATATGTATCATAATTAAAATGAAACATATTGCATGTGAGAATTTGAAATTATATATATTATTTAAAAATTTTAAGAGAGCTAACATTTTTTACTTTGGAAACTTACTAAAAATATATTCCTTATTCTAAGCTGTTTAAGTTAATATAGAAAATACTTTGTAGTCAGCTTTTTAATTAAAAATTCTACTACTTTTATAAACATACATCAAAAACTTTATCATAAACCCTTAAAAATCTCTCATTATTTTTGTGTGTAGTAAAAGTCTAATCTGAACCAGCATAGGAGATGTAGTCATTAATACTGGGGCAGGTGGCGGTGGGAGTGGAATCTATGAATCTAAAAAGTTGTATAGAAAATTTTGTGTGTATTTGCATTTTGGTAAATATACTTGTCTTTTAGCAGATTCTCAAAGGGGCCTGTTACACATTCACACAATTTAGATAATTAAAGTGTTAGGTACATTTTATTAGACAATTGTGTATACTTAGATCAAAGCATTTCACACTTTGGATTTAGTAAATAGATTATTTTAAAAGATGGTACTGTCAGAATTTTTAGAGTATTTTGGTGGTTAATATTTTAAAGTTGCCCAAAATGGTTTTCATGTAAGCTGTCGTGGTGAGTTGTTAAACATTAATTTATAAGATATATTCTTTATTATCACTGAAGAGAATAATTTTGTACATTTTTAAAGGTAATAAGCATCTTAGGTGATTATGTAGGTAGGTGTCAAAGAAGCATGGTAAAGACCAAAGATTTTTTGTGCTATGAAATTATTTTTTAATCATTAGTTTTTACTATTAAAGTGCATGATTCTAATGTATATTTTATTTCAGCTGGGTTTTTTATTGTTTGCTCTTATAACAAAAATGGTTTGTATATATTTTGAGTTTTGGGAGAACAAAGAACAAAGCTTGAGGTCTCCATGACTTAAATACAGGTTAGTTTTGTCTGATCCATAAACAATAAAGCTAAAAAATAAAAACAGAATTTATACTGTGAAATAAATATTGTGATTATTTATGTAAGTAGTTCTGTATGACAGAAAGCTATAAAAATGTACTCTATTTCAAATACTTAAAGTTCTCTGTTTATAGCTATATAAGTGTTAAATGTACATTCAGTATCTTGCCTCTGTAAAAATTATATAGGTACCTGCCTCATGCTCTAGTTTTGTTGAACTATTCTTGTTACTTATAGACGAAATTCTTTTAAAAATTAAAAGCAGGTTGTTTTGGAAAGTTCATAGAAGTTAAGAAATAGTTTTGTTCATATCATTTACATATTTCTCATAAGATTGTGAAGTATGGGATTCTGATTATTATTTAGTGAGGAATATTGTTTTATGATAGGTAGGGTTTGGAGGTTTTTGGTCTTTTGGATGGATTCTTAAATGGTTCTGAAAATAAGTATTTTAACCATGAATCTGATTTGTTTGCAGATATTTGATATCTCTTGGGATTTGTACCAGCCAAATAAACTTGTCAGCTGTGGTGTAAAACATATCAAGGTACTAGAAGGGTCTTATTTTATAATAGTCATGTATACTTACTCTCTGCTGCTAAGTACATACCACACTATTTACAACTTAGGTAGTCTTAGGATTTTGACAGTACTTATTTTTAAAATGTCAACATTTTTAACATTCTGTTGTTCAACCTAACAGGTATTTATTGTGTCATTACTGTATGTGAGGCGCTATAAGGGATATACGTATGAGTAGGGAATGAATAAAAAACTATTCATAAAGGAATTTATAGTCTTGTGAAGTAGGCTTTATTGTGTTCATCTTGTCTTCTCATGTTTCACTTACAGAGCAAAATGTGAGCATAGGAAACCAAGAAAAGTAAGAGGTTTCTTTCACAGAGACAAGATGGTGTGGCAGAAACATCATGGACAGAGTTGGCTTTGCCACACTTAGCACTGTTTGACCTGGGATTAGTCATGTAGCGTCGTTGAGCTTTTTTCACATCTTAAAAGTGTGTCTTATAGAGTGGATTAAATAAGGCAGTATTTATTCAAGTGCTTGTCATAGTTCTAGCACCTGGTGATCTTTCCGAAAGTGTTATCTTTTACATTCTCTACATTTACTCTCTGATTTGACCTTAGCCTTTGTAGTCACAGTTTATTTTGCTTATGAAAGCTCTGAGTTTTGTTTTACAATTATAGTTTAGATTTTGAAGCCCATATAACAGTTACCGTTAAATCCCTGGTGCAGATTGGAAGTGCTTGTTTTTCTTCCATCATCTAATTTAACAGTTCCTTGAAAAAGTTAACTCCTAGTAAGTAAGGCTCTGTGTTCACATTCTTTCTTTGATATGCTCACTTCCATTCACATTTTCTCCAGAGCATCTTTAGCTGCCACTGCAAGTTTGGTTTTGATATTTTGGTACTGATTTGATAATGAATAGTATTAAATATTTTTTGTACAAATATTCAGTAGCAAAAGGCTCTATGTTAGGTTTCGGGTACATAGTGTAAGCACTGTGAAGGTAGAAATTTTGTTTTTTTCATCTGTGATGAACAAATGATGTTTGAGTTAGTACTTGATAGAAAATACTTAATAATTATTGGAAAATTAATAAATAAACAGATCTTACTGTTTTATATTGTAGATAAAACTGAAAGTTCCATTTTCAGGTTTTAAACAAACTATTTTTCTGAATTAAACTGTATTTTTACTATGAGTTACATTTCTTTTCTCTTGGTAGAGTCAGTGAAAAGCAGGGTAGATCTCTTTGTAGGCAATATGTGTGAGGACACTAAGTCCCGATGATCTAGAACTTCCTTGTCCAGTATAGTAGCAATTAGCTATTTAAGTTAATTAAATTTAAGTAAAATTTAATCATTTCTTCAGTCATTCCAGTCACATTTCAAATGCTTAAGGTCCACATGTATCCAGTGGTTACTCTATTGGACAGTATATGTACAGAGAATATATTCATCACCACAGAAAGTTCTATTAGATGACATTGATCTCAATTATAGAACAATAGTTCTTTACTCTGAGTGTGAAAATTATTTGGTTACCTGGGTTTGACTCTTCAGAGATTCTTTCTCCATTTACCTTGGTGGGGGTCCAAGCATACCATGTTTTATAATTTCCCTCAGGTGAGTCTAATGTGCAGCCAAAGTTGAGAATCACTCATCTACATGAAAATAATAGACTGAAAGGAAGGATTTGTTGAATTTGCTGGAAAAGAAGAGAACTAATGATCCTGTGCACAGGAATCATGGAGCTTTTAGAATTAAAAATCATAAAGTTTCATTGATTAAAAGCATTCATTAGGTATTTAAATGGATAAGCATCACAATTTTTAGTTTTTTGATGCTTCTGGTTTTAAGATCTTTAGGTCTTGAAATAAGATCTGAAAGATGGGATACGATCTTTATTATCAACAAATTATGTGACTTTAAGTGGTAATTTACTTATTATAAAGTTGAATTTTTTCTCTGGGCCAAATTTCTTTGTATAAAACTCTTCTTATATCCTTGCCCTGTTCCATTTTTGTTTCTTTATTTCTTTCTGCAAACTATTAAAATTTACCTGAATCCACATAAAAGAACAAAAACCCTGGTCATAAAGATTTATGTTTAACTTCCTGTTTTCTCCTAAAAATGAACAAATTATTCCAAATGTGTATCTCTCTTATTTTTAAGCGTGGCAAGTAAAGGAATTGCTCAGCCTTGAAATATCAATGAGAGCAACATTTTTTTCCCCATCTTTACTTCACCAAAGATTGAATGTTAGGTTTGGTCCTCCTTCCTATTAGTGTATGATATCTTCATTTTCATTGCTAACACATAACCAGCTCCTTCACTTGTTGGAGTTTCAAGTAGATTTTTTCCAGAGACCAAAGGAGGGAAGTGTAGCCTATTTTAAAAATAATCTAGTTCACCCCCCCTTATTCTTATAGATAAGGATTGAAACCAGTGACTTGTCTGCTATAATATAGCTATTGACAACACTAGGATGAGGATGTGAACATTTGAATGCTAATGTTTCGTAAGGGGATTTCTTAGGTAATTTTTGGTCTCCTGCTCTAATATAGCTTCACAGTATTAAAAGTATTTTATTTTATAAGCATTCTTTGGTAATTTGATGATACTGTGTACCTTTTAGTTCTGGAGTTTATGTGGAAATGCTCTGACCCCAAAACGAGGGGTCTTTGGTAAGACTGGTGACCTTCAAACAATTTTGTGCCTGGCCTGTGCAAGGGATGAATTAACATATTCTGGTGCACTTAATGGGGATATATATGTTTGGAAAGGAATCAATCTTATAAGGACAATACAAGGAGCCCATACTGTAAGTATATTTACATATTTTGAACACTTTTAGATAATTATTTAACTTCTTATCCTAGAACAAAAGATTATAGAATATAGCAGACTTTCTAGTCACTTTAGTTACTTGAAAAATGCTGTTCTAACTGAATTATCTGTTTGTTTTCAAGATTTCAATGAAAAAACATTATGCAATTAGACACATGGATATTCATTAAATTAGTATAATTAGTACCTTGTTTAAACCATTGCTCCAGTATGGTATCTTTCTCGGAGTAGTGTTCATAAAAGGCTTATTAAATTCAACAAAAGTATTCTAGGTTAACTACATTAGAGTAAAGTTAGTACTCTTTTTTTGTTTTGTTTTAAAGATTTTATTTATTTATTTGACAGAGAGCATGAGCACAAGCAGGGGGAAGGGGAGGGGCAGGCAGAGGGAGAAGCACATTCCCAGCTGAGCAAGGAGCATGTGGGACTCGATCCCAGGACCCTGGGATCAAGACCTGAGCCAAAGGCCACTGTTTAACCAACTGAACCACCCAGGTGCCCTTAAAGCTAGTATTCTTATGGCTAATTTACCAGTGGGAAATTTGGGGACAATTCTAGAAAACAATACCTTTTTAATTTTAATATCATTTTTTTATTGAGTGGCAAATTTAATTTTTGTAATTCATGAGATTTTCATATTAAAAAGTTAACAAATCTGGGGGGGAGGGGAATCTGTTAAAACCTTGTAGTTTGTTTTTTTTTTTATTAAGGATTTTTAATAGTTGGGTCTCTTACATAGAGAAGGGAACTAGAGAGTGCAAAGCTGCCACATGATTAGCAGTGAGATCTCAAGTAGAGAAGTTATTAAATGTATTAATATGATCCACTATTAAATAGATAATATATCGCATATTAAATATATTAAAGAACCACTTAGAACAGGACTTGCTTTGAGCAAAGTGTCTGAAGACCAGAAATACCAGATTCTTTTCCACAAAGATTGCAGCAACTCATATTTTCCTCATTAGTGCATAAAAATACCAGTTTCTTCCTTGTACTCCCCAGGACAGGATGTGACCACTTTTGTAAATTTTGGGTTGTTTTCTGGCTGCAAAATAGTAACTTCTTGTTTTAGTTGTTTCCTATTTGTGAAATTACATATATTTTTGGCTACTTGAAATTCCTTTTCTATTAATTGGTTATTACCCTTTGCTCTTTTTTGTTGTCTTTGTGGTTTGATTCTCTGTATTCACTTATATATTAAGGATGTTAACCCTTCAACAGCCCTACACATTGCAGATATCTCCCCAATCTGTTTGTCTTTGCTTATGATATCTTTTCTCATATGAAAAATTGTTCTCCTTTGTGGTTTTTGGGTAACCTGCCTTGCATAAAAGTTCTCTCATCGTTCAAAATCATGTAAGTGTTCTTTTTTTTTTTTTTAAACATACTTATTTCTTACATTTAGAATTTTATGTCTAGGGGCGCCTGGGTGGCTTAGTGGGTTAAAGCCTCTGCCTTTAGTTCAGGTCATGATCCCAGGATCCTGGGATTGAGCCCCACATCCCCATCGGCTCTCTGCTCAGCAGGGAACCTGCTTCCTCCTCTCTCTCTGCCTGCCTCTCTCCCTACTTGTGATCTCTGTCAAATAAATAAAAACTTTAGAATTTTAAGGCTATAATTCATATTTATATGTGGTGTAGGTTTAACTTTACATTATGCCCATGTCATGGACCATATATTGTTTTTATATGTATATATATATTATATATATGTTATATATATATATATAATTTGTATTTTCTTATATATATATATATCGGAATATATCAGAAAATACAAATTATATATGTATGTATATAATTTGTATTTTCTGATATTCTGATGTCATATCAAACTCTTTTAAAGTGTGTTTCTACCTACACACAGATTTTCTTAAAGGTATATATTGTTAAATTACTTTTTTTCTCTGCTAGGCAGGAATTTTTAGTATGAATGCTTGTGAAGAAGGCTTTGCTACTGGTGGCAGAGATGGCTGTATTCGTCTTTGGGATTTAACTTTTAAACCGATTACTGTGATTGATCTCAGGGAAACAGACCAGGGATACAAAGGTAATAACAAAACAAATGTCTCACTACTAGGCAAATTCTAAATATAGACAAGATTGTCTGTTTCTTTTAATAAATATAAATTTGTTTTGTAAATATAAATGAGACTCAAATTTGCCCTCACCTACTGTGTGCTTTTAATTGCACTCCCTTTATTGAGAGGTGAATTTGCCTAAAGACAGTCTATGTTTACTGTTACGACAAGGATTCTTTTGTATATCTAATGTTTATTATGATGGTACTTAGAGATGTGACAAGTGCTTGCTTAGGTAACCTTGGATTTTGAAAATATTTTACTATTAGAATGTCAAATGTAACTATTAGCAACTGTTGAAAATAAAGTGTGTTGAGGTTTGGAGAAGGTTTTGTTCAGGATGATTTAAACGCATATAGATGTGTTTTTCCTTTATCCAAATTTGTCAACAATTGGGAGATATTTTCTTCTTTGGGGATTTAAAAATTGATATAATAAAACAGAATCACTTTTAAAAAACCTTTTATTCACTAGTATGGTATAGGAATAGGATTGGAAGTGGCAGAGGTCTGTTTAAGCCTTATTTCAGTCACTTACTAGGTGTGTGACCTTGGGACACATATTTAATCTCATCTGTAAGTGAGAACAACTATCTCATAGGATTAAATGAGCTTATTTAATATATGTAAAATGTTTAAAAGTGTCTGGGACATAATAATCATCCAGTAAATGTTAACTGTTATGTTATTTTCATTAGTTTTGCTGAGCATTATTGTACCTTAAAATCTGCAAAATAATTTGACACTTTCTTATTTGGCCCTCACAAGAAAATTGTGAAGTCCACAGCACCGTTATGTTGGCCACATTATACAGATGAGAAAACAGAAGCACTAGCTTTTCTGAGCTTACAAAAGGGATTGTGGAATATGTAGAAAGAGTAGAAGTCTCTCTAATGATTTTATGAGCAGATGGAAGAAGTGAAATGTAGACACGTGAAAAGTCAGATTATTATAAGAAAAAAATAATACAATTCTATAAAGGTAGTTCCTGAATAGTTACTTTTTGTATTGTGGAGACTGTGTTATAAGACCTTGGCTGAAGAAGTGGTCAGACTATGACTGAAATTTTCTAAGTAGTAAGAAGAATATATGTCCTGAAGGATGCGTAGAAATTAGGTATATCATATCATTTGCTATGTGGATGTATCGTTCCATATAGCAAACAACCTGCATAATTGAAGAAAATGTGTGGATCAAAGACTTGCATATTCCTTTTATCTTACATCTAAGGTATAAAAGGTACAGAAATTAAATTGATTTAGTAGATTGGCATTATAACAGATTTATCTTAAATACAATTTACTTTTGATTAGGGTTGTCTGTGAGGAGTGTTTGTTGGCGAGGTGACCATATTCTAGTTGGAACACAGGACAGTGAAATTTTCGAAATTGTGGTGCATGAAAGAAATAAACCTTTCCTAATTATGCAAGGACATTGTGAAGGTGAACTTTGGGCACTTGCTGTCCATCCTACAAAACCTTTGGCTGTGACTGGAAGTGATGATCGTTCAGTCAGGTAAGCAAATTAAAATGTAGTTTCAGGGCGCCTGGGTGGCTCAGTGGGCTAGGCCGCTGCCTTCGGCTCAGGTCATGATCTCGGGGTCCTGGGATTGAGTCCCGCATCGGGCTCTTTGCTCAGCAGGGAGCCTGCTTCCCTCCTTCTCTCACTCTGCCTGCCTCTCTATCTACTTGTGATCTCTCTCTGTCAGATAAATAAATTAAAAAAAAAAATCTTTAAAAAAAATGTAGTTTCATAGGCTGGAATTTGTCCTTAGAGAAAAATAACAAAAACTGAATTAAAAAACTTCAATTTAAATATTAACAGCTTAAAATATAACAAACGAACATAATAGGTACTTAGTAGAATTAACAGTTTATAAGATTTTTTTCTCTTAAGTTGGAGTTAGCTACATACCAAAATGTACCCAGCTATTTCTGCCTCTTTAATAACCATATAATATTCCACTGTATGGAATGGCTCATGGAATATTCTATGGAATTTTATATGGTTCAGTCAGTTAAGTGTCTACCTTTAGCACAGGTCATGATCCCGGGATCCTGGGATCATGCCCCATGTCGGACTCCCTGCTCAGTGGGGAGTCTGCTTCTCCATCTGCCCTCCCACCACACTTGAACACTCTCTCTCTCTTAAATAAAAATCTTTTTAAAAATTCCATTGCATGGATATACTGTAATTTATTCGACTGAATCATTTTTTTTAAATTATAGTTGATATACAGTTTTACATTAGTTTCAGATGTACAACATAGTGATTCAACAATTAATATACTTTACAAGATGTTCTCCACAATGGCTATAGTTATCCTCTGTCACCACACAGAGTTACTACTATTTTGACTATATTCTTTGCAAACTGGTGCAGCTACTCTGGAAAACAGTATATAGGTTCCTCAAAAATTTAAAAGTATGAACTTCCCTGTGACCCAGCATTTGCATTACTAGGTATTTATCCAAAGGATAAAAAAATATTGATTTGAAAGGGTATAAGCACCCAGTGTTTATAGCAGCACTATCAAAGACAGCCAAATTATGTCAAGAGCCCACATCTCCATTGACTGATGAATGGATAAAAAAGATTGTGTGTGTGTGTGTGTGTGTGTGTGTGTGATATATATATCACCTATACATACATATCTATACATACAAATACAGAGGAATATTACTCAGCCATCAAAAAGAATGAAATCTTTTCATTTGCAACAATGTGGATAGAATAAAAATATATTAAGCGAAAGAAGTCAGAGAAAGACAAATACCATATGATTTTACTCAAGTGGAATTTAAGAAAAAAAAATAGATGAATGTAAAGGAAAAGAAGGAAAAATAAAATAAGATAAAAACAGAGAAGGGGGGCACCTGGGTGGCTCAGTGGGTTAAAGCCTCTGCCTTCAGTGGGTTAAAGCCTCTGCCTTCGGCTCAGGTCATGATCCCAGGGTCCTGGGATTGAGCCCCGCATTGGGCTCTCTGCTCAGCGGGGAGCCTGCTTCCTTTCCTCTCTCTCTGCCTGCCTCTCTGCCTTCTTGTGATCTCTGTCAAATAAATAAATAAATAAAATCTTAAAAAAAAAAAAAAAAAACAGAAGGAAGCAAACCATAAGAGACTCTTAACTATAGAGAACAAACTGAGGGTTGCTGGAGGGGAGGTAGGTCAGTGGATGGGTTAAATTGATGATGGGCATTAAGGAGGACACTTGTGATGAGCCCTGGGTGTTATATGTGACTCAACTCAATCACTGAGTTCTGCTGAAACCAATACTACACTATATGTTAACTAACTTGAATTTAAATAAAACCTTGGAAGTAAAAAAAAAAAAAAATGTGTCAGCCAAGAAATCAAAGAGGAAATTTAAAAATTCATGGAGACAAATGAAAATGAAAACACAATGGTCCAAAGCCTTTGGGCTGCAGCAAAAGCAGTTTTAAGAGGGACATTTATAACAATATAGGCCTACCTCAAGAAGCAAGAAAAGACTCAATCAATCTACCCGTACTCCTAAAGGAGTTAGAGAAAAACACAACCCAAATCTAGCAAAAATAAGGAAATGACAAAGATTAGAGCAGAAATAATGATACAGAAACTAAATAAACAATAGAATGGATCAGTGAAACCAGGAGCTGGTTCTTTGAAAAAATTAACAAAATTGAGGGGCACCTGGGTAGCTCACAGAGGGTTAAAGCCTCTGCCTTCAGCTCCTGTCATGATCCCAGGGTCCTGGGATGGAGCCCCACATCGGGCTCTCTGCTCAGCAGGGAGCCTGCTTCCCCCCTCCCCTCTTTCTCTGCCTGCCACACTGCCTACTTGTGATCTCTGTCTGGCAAATAAATAAATAAAATCTTAAAAAAAAATTAACAATTGATAAACCTCCAGCCAGACTCATCAAAAAAAAAAACAACAACAACAACAAAAAAAAACAAACCTCAATGTCAGAAATGAAAGAGGAGAGGTAAAAACAGACACCACAGAAATGAGAAAGATTATAAGAGAATAGTATGAAAAATAATATGCCAACAAACTGAACAATATAGAAGAAATGGATAAATTCCTGGAAACATGAAACTTACCAAAACCGAAACAGAAGAAATAGAAAATTTGAGCATACTCATCACCAGCAGTGAAATTGAATCAGTAATCCAAAAACACCCAACAAACAAAAGTCCAGAGGATTCACAGGTGAATTCATCAAACACTTAAAGGAGAGTTAATGCCTATTCTTCTCAAACTTTTCCAAAAAAGTATTACAGGAAAGAAAACTTCCAAATTCATTCAGTGAGGCCAGCATTACCCTTGTACCAAAACCATGTAAAGAGTCCACAAATAGGCCAGTATCTCTGATGAACACAGGTGTGATAATCCTGAATAAAATATTAGCATTCCAAATCCAATAATACATTTTAAAAAAAAATCATTCACCATAGTCAGGTGGGGTTTATTCCTGGGTTGCAAGGGTGATTCCGTATTTGCAAATCAATGTGATAAATCACATCAGTAACAGGATAAATAACAGAAGATCTGCATCTATTTTAATAGATACAGAAAAAACATTTGACAAAGTAGAACGTCCATTCATGATGGAAACTCTCAGAGTGGGCTTAGAGGGAACATACTTCAACATAATAAAGACCATATATGAAAAACCCAAGCTAACATCATACTCATTGAGGAAAAACAGAGCTTTTCCCCTAAGGTCAGGAACAAGACAAGGATGTTCACACTCACCACTTTTATTCAACATAGAATTGGAAGTCCTAGACAGGAATCACACAAGAGAAAGGAATAAAAGGGATCCATATTGGTAAGGAAGAAGTAAAACTTTCACTCTTCGCAGGTGACATGATATTATATATAGAAAATTGTGAATACGAGAAAACTGCTAGTGAACTGATGAGTGAATACAGGAAGTTTACAAAATCATACAGAAATCTTTTGCACTAACATTACAACAACAGAAATAAATTAAGAAAACGACCCCATTTACAGTTGTACCAAAAACAATAAAAGGAATAATCTTAACCAAAGAGGTGAGTGACTGCTACTCTGAAAACTATGAAACTTGGATAAAAGAAATTGAAGGTGACACAAAGAAATGGAAAGACATTCCATGCTTATTGATTAGAAGAACAAATATTGTTAAAATGTTTATACTACCCAAACTAATCTACAGATATAATGCAACCCCTATATAGATAACAACAGCATTTTTCACAGAATTAGTGTAAATCCTAAAATTTTTATGGAACCACAAAAGAACCCAAATACCCAAAGCAATCTTGAAAAAGAAAAAAACTGGAGCTATCACAATTCTGGACTTCAAGTTATACTGTAAATCCATAGGAATCAATACAGTATGTTCCTGGCACAAAAATAGACACATACATCAATGGAACAGAATAGAAAGCCCAGAAATAAACTCTCAGTTATATGATCAATTTATCTTCAATCAAGGAGGCAAGAATATACTATGGGAAAAAAGATAGTCTCTTCAACAAATGGTGATGGGAAAACTGGACAGTGACATGTAAAATAATGAAACTGCTTTCTAATACCACACACAGAAACAAACTCAAAATAGGTTAAAGACCTAAATGTAAGACCTGAAACTATAAAAATCCTAGAAGAGTCCAGGCAGTAATTTCTCTAATATTGGCCACAACATCTTTCTAGATATGTCTCCTGAGGCAAGGGAAACAAAAGCAAAAATAAGCTATTGTGACTATATAAAAATAAAGAGCTTCTGCACAGCAAAGGAAACAACGAAAAAAACTAAAAGACAACCTACTGAGTGAGAGAAGATATCTGCAAATGACATCCATTAAAGGGCTAGTATCTAATACATATAAAGAAATCCTTCAACTCATCAAGGAAAAAAATAATGCAGTTAAAAAATAGGCAAGATATATGAACAGACATTTCTCCAAAGAAGACCTCTAGGTGGCCAACAGACCCATGAAAAAGATGCTCAACATCACTCATCATCAGGGCAACGCAAATGAAAACTACAATGAGATATCATCTCACAGCTGTCAGAATGGCTAAAATAAACAAGTGTTGACAAGGATGTGAGGAAATAGGAATCTTTGTGCACTGGGAATGCAAACTGCTGCCGCTACTGTGGAAAACAATGTGGAGGTTCCTGAAAAAAAAAAAATTACCCTACTATCTAGTAATTGGCACTGCTGGGTATTTACCCAAAGAATTAAAAAAACACTAATTTATGGGGATATGTGCACTCCTTTGTTATTATTGTCACATTATTTACAATGGGCAAGTTATTGAAGCAACCTAAGTGTGTACATCAATAGATGAATGGATAAGAAGTGGTATGTACATACAATAGAATATTATTCAGCCATAAAAAATGAGACTGCTATTTGCAACAACATGGATGGATCTATAGATTTTAATGCTAAACAAAATAAGCCAATCAGAGAAAGACAGATATCATGTGCTTTCACTCATATGTGGAATTTAAGAAAAAAGAAATTAACAAAGTGAAGG